CACTCAGAATCCTCAGAAGGGTCTGGGCATGTTCCAACTGCTGCTTCCAGGTAGTCTCAGCCCTGGCAAGATACTCATCACTTCTGAGGGAGACACAAGGCCAAGCTATAGGAGGATGTAATGCATGAGCATAAGAAGCCTACTTCATTAGTATATTCCATTTCCATGGTCTATTATAGGCACATGAGATAGCAATCCTCTGTCTAAAGCTTTAGAGAAGTATTTACTATCATCTAGCTATGATACTAATATACAAAATATATGAATATGATATAGTATTTCCATCAAGGTCAGTGATCAAAGACTCTAACAGACACAATCTAAATAAAAACAAACACAGCCTTCTGTAAGATTTTATACTAAAGCTGAGATTCAAGTTAGTATTTTTTCCCTCTTGGAAGACTCATCACGAAGACAGTACAGCAAACAATTATTCCCAAGCAATTGTCAGGCATTCATTCCTAATAAAAACTAAGTCCAAATTAACTGGAAAATATTTTAATGGTATTTTTATAGCACAAAATGATTCAACTGAGAAAGGCAGAAGTAAGATAATACAACTGTAAGTTATGCTGTTTCAAATCTGCATATCACTGGATGCAGAGAATGAGCAATAATCCTACCAGTACTCTTCCCATTTCTCCTCCTGAAGGCACAGATATACCCAGCAGAGGTTTCTCCTGGGCTCCAGGCCCCTGACTTATAAACAAGCACTGTGAGACTCAGACCCATCCATTTCTGTGGAGCCAAAGCCAGCCACTCCACCCTACAGGACCCTTCAGCTGCTCCCAGCCCCCTTCAGACTAGACTTCTGATTCCTTCTCTCCCTCTGGCCCTGAATTCTGAAAAGCTTCTTCCTAAGGTCCTTCTGCCGCTTCAGCTTCTCCTCCTCCTCCTTCTGCTTCGCTCTGGCATGCTCCTTATTGTGCAGACGCTGCTGCTCCTTGGCCTTCTTCACTTTCTGGCTGTTCACTGTGCTCAAAGCATCCAGCAGTGCCAGGATCTGCAAGGACAAAGCCTGGTGAGCATCATTCATTCAGCTGTGGCACACGTGTGACCAACACTTCCGGGCCTGAACACCTGGCTGACAGGACCAAAACTGGTTTCAGTGCACAACCCAAGTACAGGTTAACCAAGTGAAGAGGAATTCTGTACTTGGAAAGCACAACTTGCACGAAGATGTGTGTGAGTACATTTTACCCCTATAATAAAACCACCTCTGTGCACCATTCTGTGGATACTCTCTCCACCAGCTAAGACAGAGGGGCACCTGCCACCTGCCCCACTCCAGACTCAAACCCATAGGCACAGCACGGTTGAGCTATGGACCCAGGGTCCTTGTGACCCCAATGAAGACCGGGTGCACACCAAGTGTGTTACTAAGAGCACAACTCTCGTGTTAAAAAAGAAAGCAATAAGCCATTGCTCATAGTACCTTCCTCTCATGAGGCTCTCGGATGACAGCTGGCCTCCACCTGTCCCTGGGCACCTTGCCGGCCTTTGCTTGGAGCTTGGGCTTGTTCTTAAATGGCAGAGCCTTCTGCAAGGCTTTGGGAATGTGCAGTGAGTTAAAATGCTTCTTTTGCCTCAGGACTGGCTGAAAGGGAAAAATAAAACAAAAACTATGACATATATAAACTATAATCCATATTTACATAATACTTTGGCATAAACTCTTTGCTATGGGTTGATTTCACCACGGGTCAATAACACCAGCATCAGCTGCCCTCAAGAAGTCAGCATTCATCACCCATGCAGGACAGATGCCTCTAAAGACACCCATATCCCATACAAAGGAGAGGAGTATGCAGTATACACTTACAGCCCTTCAAAACAGTGCTGGTGGCCACTTCTGTGGATGAAACTGTGAGGTGCACAAAAGCTACTTCTCATGAAACACTCAGGCCCCACCTCTGAGGCACCGAGCTGGTATTCTTCCAGCCTAACATGAATGACCTGGCTAGTCTCTCTCATTTTAAACCTCTCTGAAGAGCACAGTTATTCCTCAGCAGACAAAGTATCCCTATTTCTGCCTCTAATTAACAAATTTAAGTTTTTGTGTTTCTGCTAGAAGGATGGCAGAGACAAACGAAATTTAAGCAGCACAGGAAGGCAAACTCTACACGAAATTTTCAAGGTAATAAAAGTTAAATTAAGTTAACCAAAAGTACTTAAATTAAGATAACCAAATTTTTAATTGCCTCAGAAATATTAGCAGGAAGTTGAAAGTCTTGCCCAAGGCAAATCAAAGATCAACATCAACTATTTAGAGAAGACTGCTATGTCTTTACTGTTCAAGAGACTGGGAGCATGGCACACATCAACATCCCAGATACTCAGGAAGCCAAGGCAAGATCACTTTGAGCACATGAGACCACTGGGTAACACAGCTAGATCTTATGTCACTACAGATATATAAGTAAGTATATCATTAATAGTCAATATCTAAATTGAACCCAAATTGCTTTAGAATTTAAAAATTCAGAGACCCCAAAATAGCTTTAGAATTTAAAAATTCAGAGTAATCTAAAAAAATCATTATCACAGGTTGATATTTCACTAAAAACCATGAAAGATTATTCAAAATCTTACAATAAACCATCTTATATGGGAGACCATTTCTACCAGAATGGCAGACTGATACTCTGAAGATACCTTCTTTTATTTCTTTTTGTTGTACCAGGGATCGAACTTGGGATCCTGTGCTTTTGAGGTAGGCATGGTGCAACTGAGCTAAATTCCTGGCATTTTTTTTTTTTTTTTTTTTTTTTTTTTTTTTTTTTTTTTTTTTTTTTTTTTTTTTTTTTTTTTTTTTTTTTTTTTTTTTTTTTTTTTTGAATCAGGGTTGTACTATGTAGTTCAGGCTGGCCTTGAACTCACTATGTAGCCCAGGGTGGCCTTGAACTCATGGCAATCCTCCTGCCTCAGCCTCTTAAGTGCTGGAATTATAAGCATGTATCACCACATCCAGCAAAAATACCATGTTACTACAAAACAAATAAATGTCTTGGATTAAAACAATTATTCAAATGCATTGTTAAGCTGTGAAGAAAATAATGAAAGGGAGAGCCCGGAAGAAACTCCAAACATACAGATCAATTAATTCTTGATAAGGGCAACCAAGACAAGGAAAGGAAGGTTCCATCCATCCATACGTGGTGCTAGAAAACTGGGTCTCTGTTCAATCCCCAGTACCAAAAAAAATCCAAAACAAAACAAAAAAAACTGGGTCTCTAATACAAGAATAAGACGAACTTTTGCACACAAAATCAAGGCACAATGGGTAAAGACCTAAATGTAACACCTGAAATCTGAAAACTCCTAGAAGAGAACAAAGGGACACTGGCCTTGGTAATAATTTTTTAGATATTATGTCAAAAGCCAGGCTATGAAAGCAAAACTAAATAATGGGACGGCATACTAAGAAGTTTCTATAAAGTAAAAGAAACCACAAAATGAAAGGGCAACCTACTAACTGGAAAAAAAAAAAAACTTGTAAACCTTGTACATGTAAGGGGTTAATAACCAAACTTCGCAGAACTCATACAAGACAACAACAGAAAAACAGCCAAATTAAAACAAGGGCAGGGGGCCTGAACAGAAATTTCTCCAAAGACATAAAATAGTTAACAGGAAATGAGGAGGCGCAGGACCAAGGGTACACAGTGGCGAACATGTAGGATGAACACAGATACAGATCTAATATACCACATAAGAACTATAGCCCAAAATGTATTTGGAAGTTTTTTAGGGCCAGGGATTTAGCTCAGTGGTTCTGCCACCTGCCCCCCAAGCACAAGACCCAAGTTTGATCCCCAGTACCAGAAAAAAAAAGTAATTTTAATTGCTCTGTCACACAAAACAAAGTTATGTGAGATGGTAGATATGCTTATTTGCTTCACTATGGTAAATATTTTACTATCTATCAAATATATCACAAAACATCATGCTGTAAACCTCAAATTCTTTTGTAATTCAGAGAAAATAACTACCATTTTTCTGTGTTCTTTCCAAAATATTCCACGGGTTTACAACAGTTCATTTTTAAATAAATAAATACATACACACATATGCACACGTACATACACACACACGCACATGCACAAATTTAACATTATACTTGAAAATTAAAAGCACTGGTGTGACTGCCTAGAGCATACCTGTGCTGTCTTCCCTGACACGTATATATACACAAACACACATGCCCTGTACCTTATACAGAGAATCCTTATTAGCCTTCAGCTTGATCCCGTGCTCAAGCCTGAGCTGACCTGTGGTCCGCATGCCTGACCAGGTGTCTTTCTCACCCACTGGTTTCAGCAGAGATGTAACTGGGTTATAAAAGGCTGGGATGGACACAGGGTACCATGTTCGCATGAAGATGATATCTAGAAAGAGGAAACTTAACATTTTCAAAACATGATTCATCCCCACCTCTCTCTGTATGTGTCTCTCTCTCACACACATACACACACAAACTCACACCAAATTTCTCTATCTTACCAAATTTTCTATACTTGTATATCACACAGCTTCCACAGGGTGTGAAACAGGAAGCTGCAGGCATTGTTAACTAGCAGTGGTACAAGATGCTCTAACTGGGTAAAGCTGGCATTCACTCTAAGACATCTAAACTACAACTTCCAATCGATACTGACAATAAGTCAGCAATGAAAGGCAGCACGGTATCGTGAATACCCCACGGTGTGCTTACCACTCATCAGCAGCTTGTCCTCAAAACTGGCCCGGAAAGCCCCCTCCGGGGCCCGCAGTGCTTTCTTGATCTGTCCCCTAATTCCACTGACAGTCCGAATCACAGCACCTTCAAATTTGGCCACTTCCAAGGCAGAATTAAACATTCCCTAGAGGCAAATGAGCAGAAAAATGCATACACAAAAAATTATTTACCTCTTAGTTCATCATTGGTTAAAAAATAAAGCACCTCACTAAAGGGGGACAAAATAAACTATTTTCCTCCATAAAAGTGGCATTACTATGTCAAGAAGTACAACAGCTCTCTACCGCAAGAAAGTCTAATCTATTCCAGCACTCTCTTTGCTGTGAGACAGGCTGTTATATAGACTTAAATGGCGTAAAAACAAAAAAGTACAACAGTTTTGTTTTACTTTTCCAAAGTAACGTCAGTCTAGACTGCTGTGGGCTCATTAACACACTCATCACTAGTACCCTGGCAGAAGAAAGAGCAGAGATGCATTTACTGGGTGCCCTCAACACCTGTGTCTGGCACCCTGCAGGCTGGGTTGTAGCTCACATTGTATCATTTAGGTTCATCCATTTAAAGTAAAAAGAGCTAGGCAGATGCTTATGGTATCATTTGTACAAGGACATTTAGAATCTTCTCCCCACCCCCACCCCGTGACTCTACCAGTGAACTACATCCCCAGCCCTCAGGATCTTAATGTTTTTAAGGAAAACATCTCCACTAATGAAACTTTCAACAAATGCTGCTCAAACTACCCTCTCCAAATACTGTAAAATATTGTGTTCATTCTCTGAAATCTTGTCAAGTTTCCTATCTTTTTTTATTAGTATCTGTGTGTAGTGCACGTGTATACTCATGTGGAGTTGGTGTATGTACATACATATTTTCATTACTCTTTTCATCCCCTCTCTTCTCCTCCCTCCTCCACCTTGTCTGTATTTTCTACTATACTGTTAAAACAGAAGGATGATTTTTCCTCCTTTCTTAAAACAAACCTGAAAGGTGGGACACAAATCCAGAAGGGCTGGCATCAGTTTTTGGTATTAGTTCTGAGACAGAGTTGTATGGAAGTAACAAGAGCCCTGGGCACTAAGTATCTCCTTGATTTCACTTTCAGAGTTAAAGCATATTTCACACAAACACAAAGAAGTCAACTAAAAAATATCAAGGAAACCATTCAAATACTATGCTAAAAATATTAGGCCCATATTTTAGAAGATTAGGAAAATCCAAAATGTTCCCCAAACTGAAATTTTCTGAGGCAGACATGATACCTCTGGTGGGAAATCTGACAACTGACTTCATGTGTGAGTCCCAGTCAAAATGCAGGCACACTAATGACACTGTACACAGTGACCTTCCAGTCACATGGGTAAGGTATATGTGAATCACATGTGAGTCATCTTATTAAGTGTATGTAAATATCCTAAAATCTAAAGAAATCTAAACTTTGAAATACTTCTGGTCCCAAACATTTCAAATAAGGAATCTTGAACTTGTACTACAGGCTTGACCAATATAAACATTCATAAATATATATATATACACAGACCTTAACAAATGAAGTATTCTTGAAAATTTTATATGGAAAACCAGTTAGCTTTAATTTCTTCACAATTTTTATGGATTTATCCAGATCAAGGACAACTCCCGTCGCAGCTATCCGGAAATCAGGCTAAAAGAAAACTCCAAAATTTGAGTATAAATATCAGGAGGATGACGCTAGTCTAAGCTACATAATGAGTATAAGGCCAGCTTGAATTGCACAATAGCTGTCTCAAAAACAAAAAAAAAAAAAAAAAAAAAAAAAGAAAGAAAGAAAAAGAAAAGAAAAAAAATCAGCAGGAGAAAATCTACAACTCTCTGTGATGCACTAAGTTACCAAAGTTCACTTTGCTTACAATCAGCTAAGAACAAGAGGGCATGTGAACACGTCAAACGGTATTTCAGCAAAGCATCAAAAGCCGCAACACTGATAGGCAAATGGACAGCAATGGCTGCAGGACTCTTCCGAGAGTGACTTCACAATAAAGGTCAATTTGGGATGAAGAGAAAGAGCTAAATTTAGCTGTTATTTTTAAAAAGCTAAATTCTGGACTTCTAGGGTAGATTCTTCCACCTCCTCCTCATCTCTCTGTGAAACCTGCTCTGAGCAGTCTCACACCGAGGGTACACTTTTGCTCAGCCTACCCAGGAGAGCTGCCCCTGGTGAACTGGCTGTCCTGTATCCCCAGAAAAGGCATAGTGCCAGTCCATGGAGAATGCTGCTCCAGTATTCCTTCAAGGCATAAGAACATACAATGTCACCTATGCCATTATAATTTTTCTACACTGCTCTTTCCTTCTCCCAAACACTTCTAAAAGGACACAGAAAGATCTAAAACAAAGAGAACTTTAGAACATATTATACATTAAAAATGAACTTAGAGATTCATGTATACGACTCAGATTCAATATCAACTTTTCAAACATAATCTATGAAATAAAATATCCAGGATATTTACCATTACTCCACTGACAGACTGTATCGCCAAGAACCCGGTTCCTTGTGGAGTGATAGGACCTTAAAGGAAAGGAAACAAGTCAGATTGAGCCACATGTGTGGATTCTGTTTTATGTATGTACTCCAACCCCTCACTCAAGGAGACAAATCTCATGACAAACTGGGAGTTCATGAAAGAAAAGAGCAAAACTTAATCATAAGGTCTAATAATAGGTATTAGTGAAATCTTACAACCAACTTATTTTAACTGCATTTACCCCAAAAGGTTGCTCCACAGTGCATGTGCTGTGGGGTGTATTTCAGAAGCCTCTGTCGTCCATTGTGGTCTTCAATGTAATAAAGTGGGATGGTCTGAAACCTCCTCCAACCAACAGAAAAAATGACTGGATCTCTGGACTTCAGGATTTTCTTATACCAGCGATGTTTCTTCAGACGCATCTGAGAGAAGAGTATTTCAACACAGTGGGGTGCTTATTCAACCCAGTAGTCACACACAGTGAATGAACACCCCCCTGCCCATGCCCTACACTACCTTCACATCCAGGGCACCCACCTGCACATACCCCACGTTGCCCTCACTGTTGCCCAAGCCACCCAGAATTACTGGGTAATGGGGGTCAAAGTTCATCACAAATTCGCAGGGGATGTTTTCAATCTCAATTCGGACATACATCCCAGGTCGAAAACCTTCATATTGAACTCGAGATTCATCATCTTGATTTTCAAATTCTGCTCGATTAAGCTACAATGAGAAGTGCAAGAAACAATAAAATCCCATCATACTATTATCTTTAATCAACCTAAGATTAAAATTAAAAATAAGCAATTATTAAAAGAACCATGGACAGAATTATTTAGGTTTTATCCTCATCAAAAATGGTGGGCAGCCACATCTGTGGTTGTCGGCCAAGTCACTGTTGTGCTCTCTCTTGCTTAGGACACGACAAATGCAGACAACTCTGAAAGCTGATTGTCAGCAACCAGATTCCACTGGCCATACCTTCTTTCCTCACTGCAATTTCCTACTTTCCCACTCCACATCAAAACCCCCAATGACTCCAGATGTCACCCTCCTTCACCATTCTGGTTCATATTTGCATGTCTGCCCAGTGCCTTCTGAGCTCACTAGGGGCCTCTGGATGACTGGATCATGGGAATGGGATAAGTTTACAGCTAAATGTGGTGTCAGGAAGTGGTGCTTGGTGGCACTGGGGGTGTGATGTAGAAGGGTTTTATCTCCTTTCCCTCCCTTAATGTTGCTCTGAATCCTGACTGCCCTGCCATGAGCTCTTTCCCTTCTGCCATGCTATTTTGCCTTGGAACCAGCCAACTATCAACTGTAACCTCTACAAAATCTGAGCCAAAATAAAATTTTCCTCCTTATGAGTTGTGGGTGTCAGGTACTGCGTCCTACGAATGAGGAAGTAACTAAGACACTCACTTTCACATGCCCCATGAAGTCCACCAGGAAATCCTACTGATCCACCTTTCCAACACAAAGTGGTGCACCAGATCTGGCTCTTTCACCTGTGCCTATGCCATCTTAACCTGAGTAACTGCCACAGCAATCCACTCCCCAGGGAGGGCACCGGTGTCTCTCCTTTGCTCCACTTCCACAAGAGCTGCATTTCACCCAGAAGGAAAAAATTCAAAGTCCTTTAAGATGGCCCACAAGATTCCAGGTGACCTTAACTGTAAATAGCACAGGCTTCAGGACTAGCTTTACCTTTCTTAGTCATTTCTGTTAAGGTTGACACAGACTGGGAACACTAAGTTATGTCATCAAAAGATGAAGGTCTAGGCTGAGTGCAATCTGAACTATAGTCTACTAATCACAAATGCTCATTTGCAGCCATTGTCCGACTGCTCCAGAATGGAGCCACCACCTCAGATAGGCAGCTCAGCTCCAGGCAGGAGCTAATCTGCCCCTTCCCTGCATCTCTGTAGAAACTTTCTGAATTCTGACTGAGGTGAGATCAGGAAACTTCCTCTGGAAAGCCCGGTTTGCCACAAGTCACATGGGCCACATATCCCCTATTCACTCACTGATCAGGGGCAGTGATCAGAACGTGAGCCTAGCTTGTGTAAGACTCTCAGAAATCCCTTTTGCTTCCTCAGCACTGCAGTCCTAGCACTGTGGGCTCTGTGAATTCTGAGACCATGAACAACCACACCCACATGCACCTTGACCAGGAGCCACATGAAAGATACAGAGCAGGCCAGGGGCAGTCAGCCCTGGGAGGAGGGATATAGGAGGAGTTCTCTTACCTGAGCTTGTTTCTGCATTTCTCCCTTAAGGTCATCAAAAAAAGTGCTTTCTCCCTCATCATATTCTGCATCAAATAGCTCCTTCAATTTTCTCTTCTTCTCCAAATGCTTTTTCTTGGCATCTTCCTCTGTGCTGGGGTCAGTTTCTTCCTTAACTTCTCCCTCTTGATCTTCAGTCTTAAATTTACAGAAGGAAAAACATTTTAAAAGTTTATGGATATTTTTTTCTTTAAACATAAAAGCAGATAAATTTCTTTTTGAACTGCAAAAACCTTAGCTATGACTATCATGAATAAAATAGAACAAAAACACAGCCTTTGGCTCTAAGATACTGTGCCCTGCTGCAGAAGACAGTACTGTCAACTATGGTTGGCCCCTCGGGCCTAGAAAGTGAAAGTGACCAAATGGGCCCAGCCTAAGCACTCCCACACATGGCACAAAGACCTTTCAGGAAGAAAAGAAAACTGGTTTTCTTTTATTGACACTTAAATTGGCTAATAGGGGAATGATGGCAAAAAGGAAGAATGGAGAGGAAGAACTAAGCAAAAACCTCCATAAATCAAAAATTGTAAGTAATCTGGCAAACAAACCATGGCAA